CGGTGGCTGGCCGAGGGGGCGGCCCACGGGAGGAAAGGCCACAGAGGTGTGGGAGGCCTCTGCGCAGAGGCCCCGTCCCGGCAGGCGGCCGAGGCCCGTCTCACCTGTGGCTTGTGTCCGAGGCGCCGACCCGGGACCAAGCCAGGCGCTCGGGCCCTGCACATGCTCAGCAGCCCAGACACCTGTTGACATCGCCACAGCCTTGGCCACGCTCGGACTTTGGTCTGCCCCGAGGCTTTCCTTATTGCGGTCAGTGCCTAACCTGCGGAGACACCTGTCTCTGTTAGGGCGAGCTGGGCAGGCACAGGTGTCCCCCTGCAGACCAGAGTGGCCAAGTGGCTCCTTTTCACTTCTGCTCCAGGGATCCACCTGGAGAACCTCCAGGGATCAACCTCCAGGGTGTGAGACGGGAGAACGTGCCAGAAAGGAGAGGAGGGGACATCATGAGAAGGGAAGTCGCACTGCTCATCCGGGGACCTTGATGTCCTCGCTGCTCCTGCGGGGAGGTCAGGCTAACCCCAGAAGCTGTGTCCGCGCCTCTGCGTCACCGGCCTTTCTCAAGGACGAGATGAAGGGTCACTTGGTCACCCACACCCTCCAGCTGTAAACAGGAATCGCCATCGCTCGCGTGTAGATATGTTGCAGTCTGTGAAGCCCCTGCACTGCCCCTTCACCTTATTTGACCGTCAAACGCCCACAAAGGGGCAGGGTGTGAGCTTGACTTCAAGGAGCAGCTGTCAGTACTTGTCTCTGTTAGGGCGAGCTGACCAAATACAGTGCTGACCCGCCCGCTGCTCCCGTTCCGTCTGGTGAATCCTCTCGCTTCCGGCCTGTACCCCAGTGTATGCATAAAAAAGACTAGGAGCGAGATCCTTTCAGAGGATCTTGTCTGCTTCCAAAAATGCTACAAACATGAGGCAGGAAAATGAAGATTGGAAAAGCCCAGAGAAGCAGAATCCCAATGAGGAGAAAGCTACGATACGTCAAACGGGTTTTTCTTTTTGTTGGTGACAGTCATTTTCATAACGTATCTTCGAAATCACGCCAAGAAAGTTGAAAATGTTTTTGTAGTAATTATTTGCATCATAATTCTCTGAAAACCTGTAATCTGTGCCGGTGCACAGAACACATTTCTGGAAATGTGTGGGGAACACAGCTCTGGTGTCGGCCTGACCCCTGGATGTCAGGACGACCAAGGAAACTCCCTCCCTGCCAAATTCTACCCGTCAGCCTCGCCCTTCCCTGTACAAGACACGTGGTGACTTTGGTCTACACACACTTCCTTCCTTCTGAAAGCTCAGAGTGCGTGATCATGCTAGGTGCGAGCAAGGGGTGGGGAGACATGGAAGCCAACTCGTCATCATGGCACAATTTGAATTTCAGGAGTCAGAAGGTTCTAAAAGTACCATAGGAAGCTCAGTCTTGAAGGGTGACATAAACTGAAAAGGGAGGGGCCTTCCCTGGGGTGCAACGGGTTGTTGAGTCTCAGCACCATGAAGCCACCTCCAGCCACTGCAGCCCGTGTCCGATCCCCCGCCAGGGAGGGACCGCAGGGAGCAGCAGACCTCTCCCGCTTCACCCGCTGCTCCCCTCAGCGGTGTTTCAGTAGATCGGCTGTTCTGTTCCTCTCACCACCCACCCTGCACCTCTGGCCTACACCCCAGCTCTTGTATGTATAAATAAGTATTTTTTTTTAAAAAAAAGGAATAGAAAATGGAAACTTTTAAGTAAAGGAAACTGGAAAACCTGGACTCGGTGTGGGGACGCATCATAGTGTGGGTACAGTGCCCACCTGGTGGGCACCCAGGAGGGACTGTTGGTCAGCAGGGCGCACCGCAGGGACTTGGCGGCGACAGGGCTGTGCTCTCAGTGTGTACATGGACGCAGAAGGGGCATGAGCTGAGGTCGAGGGCCAAGCGTTGCGTGGGAGTCTGAGACACTCATCAGGACGTCTAGAGAAGCCGTCTGTGCCGTGTGCTGGTTATGCGATGAGCGTAACTCGAGGGCAGCAGTCTGGGCATCAGAGACATCAGTGGGTAAGAGCAAGGCACGCACCTCTCACCTAGTAGCCGTTTACCTTTACGGGTCAGGCCTCCGGGGGTGGAAGGACCTGTAGGTCACACATCTCCTTCCCAATTCTTTCTTTTATTTCTTTATGCAACCAGGAACTGGGGTATGGGCCAGAGGTGAGAGGATTCACCAGAGGCAGAATCGGGAGCAGAACAGGCAGATGGACTGAAACACAGGGGAGCAGCAGGAGAGGCAGGAGAGCTCAGCTGCACCCTGTGGGTCAGTCCCTGGCCGGGATCC